CCCTCGGGTCTCAGTCGAGTCGGCCCTTTTGACTTAGGGCGGCTCGTCTTCCATCGCCCCTTCGGTCCCCTCGAGGTTGCCGCTTGGGACGCTCTCCTCCAGGCCATCGCCCTCCAGCCTTTGGATCTGGATGGCGCGCCTGACTCCGTGTCATGGCGTCTGGAGCCTTCGGGACGGTTCTCCACGAAGTCCCTTTATCCGGCCATTGCTCCTTCTCAGGCCCCTGAGCCTTAGCCTGATCTGGGACATCCGCTTGCTGTTGAAGATCCGGATCTTCTTGTGGCAGTAGATCCGGGGCCACCTACCCTCTGGGGTTGAGGTCCGGAAGCGCAATGGCCCGGGTGATGGGATGTCCCTTATGTGGCACGGTTGAGGATGCCAACCACATCTTCTTCTCGTGCGTCTCGGCCCAATTCCTGTGGGCTTGCTTCCGCGAGACGGTCAGTGGTCGTTGGTGCAACACCAACTTCCAGGACCTGCTGGCGGAAATCCAAGCCTCCGCCCCCCGTCACCGCCACATTAGGTGGCTGCGTGTGGGGGTCCTTTCCTGGACTCTCTAGACCATTCGCAACAAGCTTGTCATCCAAAAAACGCCTCTTCGACGTGCGACTGACACAATCTTCAAATTGTGTGGTTACTTGCAGCTTTGGCGGTCGCTTAGCCGGCCCCAGGACCGGGACGCCATCGACACCCTCCTCGCCGACCTCCGCGCGATGGCCTTCCGAGTGGCGCCTCCTCTCCCGCCCCCACCCCCGGAGCCCGACTAGGCTTGCGCCTTCTCCCTGAGACGCTGGATGTGTTCCGCGCCTTGCGATCCGGCACTTCTGTGCCTTGTGTTTTTTATGTTTTCAGGGCTTGTTGAGCTGTGCCCTCAGCATTAACCCAGATTGTACTCTGTGTTCTCGTGGACTCCTAGTGTGTGTGTGTGTGTGTGTTGTGGACCTATGTTGGATGTTTGGCTTGGGCGGTTTGCTTTATATATAAAGCGGGGCGAAAGCCTTTTTCGGTAAGTACAACAGCTTCATAAGGATTAAGGTGCTCAGGGAGTTTCTTCATGAGACTTGTGCGCCAAATTCCACAAATGAATATGAGTGGTTCAGGTCCAGTTACCTCACATTTAACAAAAAGAAGAGAGAAAGAAAAAGGAAACAGTGGCATCCTTCACATGATTCATAAAGCTCTGGTTTTCTGGTACCCCTTAGGAATTCTATTAGAACCAAACACTTCTTGTGGGCAGTGTCCAAACCAAAAGAAGAAGAAAAAAAGAAAAATAATAACAATTTAACTTTCCAGCATCATCAGTGGCGGAGCCAGAAACTCAATATAAAGGGGGCCAAACATGTTATATAATGTTAGACGGGGCCAAATCTTCTAAATCTTGCTAATTATGTTTGAAAAATGGACAATTAGGAGCACATATAGCTGTATTTGTGAGAGCATAGGGGGGGCCAGGGCCCCTGCAGCACCCCCTGCCTCCGCCACTGAGCATCATGTATGCATCATTTCATACAGATTCTTTTTCTTTCAGTTGTTAATCGTACAAATGAAGTCACTTCAATGTTGGATATGCGAGTAGCACTCTAAGTCACTTCTAATGAAGTCACTGGCAAAATACAGAACTAAATGTAAGGCACGAGAGAAAAATGCACACCTCAGGAGCAAAGCTCTCAAAGTGGTCCTTCTTCTTCTGCACAACATTCTCAGTAACGAACAGAGGGAAATAATAAGATTTCGACTTCAGCTTTTTTATTTCTGCATCAAAGAATTCCTGCACAAAAATTACATATCGGTTATTAAAAGAAAACGGGGCTATACTAATAATGTCAGTATCACTTGATAAGATAAAAATAATATGAAAACAAACAATGAGGATTCCGGTGCTGCCAACAATGTAAATCTACTCAATTCAGTCAGAAGGTACTGATAAGAGAGTCTGATGCAACAAAAATTGAATACAAGACAGCCATACACTGACGAAGAGAAGTGAAACTTATGTTCATAATTCTGAAACAAATATAGTATCACATTTTCTAAGTGCGTAAGGGGGATTGTAACTTGGCATATCAAATGCCGTTAAGTGAACTGGACAAATTAAGTTCAGATTAGTCACCATATAACGATTATAAAAAGTAAAAGATAAAGCATATGCTTGACAAAACAAGCTTTAGATGGCAGTCAAAAAAGTCTGTAAATATAGAGATGCCTTTCTTTCATCACCACAGATAATAACATTACAACACTTGCAGCAAAGCACACTTGTATTTAATTACAAAGAAGGGAAAATACTAACAATCCATCAAATCCATCTCGATTAACTGAATTTCACAGGATAAAACTCACTTTCAGCAATTCCCAGATCTCCATCACCCATGGCCTCAAAATATAACAGCCAGGGATGTCATGGTACTCAATAATTTCACTGTTAACAACAACCTGCGCAAAGAAACAACAAAGCTTCAGATAAGCCCTATTATTTGAATTTTGGTATCTGGAATCATCCAACTAGCACACAGAAAATCAAGTTTTCCTTCTCTTTCGAGAAAAAAGCAACTAAAGGAGAAAATGAGCATTAAACCAAGAATAATTCAGAGAGCACGGCTGCACCAACATCAAGCCGACAGGTGAACCAATGTAATATGTTGCATTCAAGAGCAAAAACTGTAACACAACACCCAAAATGCAAGTGAACCCATGTCAGTAGTATTTTTTGACTAAGTCAGAATTTTTAAGCTATCCACCATAACAGATATTAACAGAGCCATCATATCAAATCTTGTCCGGGGCTTCTTTCAGCACCTTAATCATGGCTCCTATATTAAAGTTCACTTTCACTTTGTATTAAGCCCAAATTGACTTGGCAAGCCTCACCAAGACGGCAAAGGCCAAAGAAGGTAAGAAAACACACCTCGGAGTACCATTCCCCGAAGTTATCATCCTTCTTGAACGCCATCGTCCCCGGTTTGCTAGTGGATGTGGATGGATCCTGAGGCGCTGCTGCTGCACGGGATGAAATACAAATGACAGCTAAGTTGGCTCTCAGAAGACATAAGAATTCACGAAGAACCGGGAAAACATGTAGCCTGTGTTTTATTGCCCGCGGTCCACATGTATGCAGTGACGGCGACTCGATTATGAAAAATTGCAAAGTACTTCACCATCATGTTCGTTTGGACTCTGTGCAGACTCAAAATGTCCGTCCTAATAATATTTGTAGACGCTATCTTGAAGGCTGCTTGATAAAAAGAACAGAATAATACTTGGGAAGAAAGATCGTCAGTGCAAGTTTTCTCCTAGAACTTCTTTGACAAAATGCTATAAGCTTATGATGACCAGCAACTGGTCAGCTTTTCATCCCCCACCCCTATGCTTACTACTGTAGGTACTAGTACTGATGATGTAAGCTCCTCCCAACAGCAGCTGTATTATGTTCGAGTCCAATGACTACTCTACATGCCCTGTTTCTAACTTTCTACAACTATGATTGCGAAGAAAACCTAATACGCCGAATTATTTCGGTTGAGCTCTTCCGCATAATTAAAAAGCTCAACGAAAAGGAGCAGAAAGACTAAGGAATAGCACCGGTCCAACGACCAAAATAGCAGAAAATATGGTGATTTGACGGCATGCAGCTAAGTAGTCCACACCTCGATCGACGGCGCTCGGATACGCCGCGGCTGGGGAGGTGGAGAGTGGAGACAGGGCGTTGCTGCGGATTCAGGGTGGAAGGGGGCGGAGGCTGAAGGGCAGCATATATCGCCCGCCAGCGCTTCCGCTTCCGCTTCCGTGTCCGCTACTGAACCGAAATAGGAATAAGAAAATAGGAACGGTTGGTGGTGGAAAGAAGGAAAGAAAGAAGACTAAATAATTCCTGTCAGGAGACCAGGAGAGTCAAGACTCAAAGAGACACTTCAAAAAAGAAAAGACTCAAAGAGCGCAAAACACTGTACGCGATCCCCGATCCCGTGGCTTGATCGATAGCTCCGGAGGTCGGTCGATGCGATCCGTCACCATGCATGCATGGCTGTGCCGATCGAGGAGTGAACCTGGGTCGCGTCCAGAGCGCCTCCCGATCGCCACAGCGCCAATCACGAAAACCGTCACGTACACAAGGGACGGACCAGCATTACCCTACTTGCCCGGCCGGCCTCTTTCTTCTTCACAAGATGGTGTTGGCAGATCTGGCATTACCCTACTTGCCCGGCCTCTTTCTTCATCACCAGTAGTTGACCAGCATTACAGGGAGTAGTAAATATTGGTAACTACTGGTGATGATCCTAGTGTTACATTACAGCAGAGCTAGCCCAGCGAGAGTACAGTTCCTCAAGAGACTGGGACTGGTCAAGGAGTGATAGAGATACTGATGGTAATTTTGTTTTACACAAGATCATGCACAGAACAAATACTATTTCCTTGCTTCTTTCCTAAATGCACAAATACAAATACATTAAGAAAAACAGTGTCACAATCATCAAGAAAAAGAGATGTTGGTGGTAATTTCCGCTGCATATAAATTCATGGCATTCAGCATCATCATGTGACAAAAGTATACATGGAAACAGTTTTGACATGCATGGATGCACACATTATTTTAAGCATCTAGTACGAGTTCTTGGCACAAGCATTTGACGGACGGACTGCGTTGAGATTATTGATCCGCCTTTGTTACATTCCCGGGATCAGGCCATTAACACCAAAGCTTCATCAATCATAAAAGAGCAAGGACGGACGGACGAATGCCTGATTGTCGCCATGTCTACCAAATGAAGTTTAACTTGAGAACCAGCAACCTTGAACCTCCGTGTACAATTTTCATGATGGCATCCTTCACATGGCACAACTGGCAGTAGCAAGACAAAGAAGCACATCATCGATACTTCTTTTATAGAGAACAATCATATATTCCAATAAAACTGGACATCAAATTGGCTGTGTGCATCGCATGATGAAGAGGCCCAAGTATTCCCTTTTTCGAAAAGAATCGATGGACATCAAACTTCGGTGAAAAAAGGTGGATAAGAAAACCCGTGGTGGAAATTAATTGATGCAGCGAACCACCATTCCATCGGCAAGAGCACAGTATGCGGGAACTCCAACCAAAACAACCAGATCTCACTAGGGCAAGTACCTCCGCATGCCCTTGACGTCAAGAAGCCTCTCGTGTTCTGCAAGATCATTGTCGTCGATGTGATCACTGATGTAGTAATAAGAATCCTCACGGTAATCCTCATAATCCTCGTGATTCGGATAGTCAGGACTCCAACAACAACTGCAAGGCAGATATGGCAAAGAGTACCGAGGGCCATCCATGTTAACTCGAGAACACTTCTCCAGCAGGTCATCATCCATCCTGAGATACTTACATTCGAAAACGTTAAGGTGCTCTAGGTGGGGACAGCCATCAAGGATCACTGTCAGCCCTTTGTTGGTGAGTCTGTTGCTGTCGAGATACAAGGAACGTAGCTCGTGCATCTTCGCAATCGCGAAAGCATTACCATCATCTGCAGGTTTGTAAAAACGATCTTTTTTTATGAGACTGAAGTGCTTCAAGCGTGGGCAGGCTTCAGCGACAATCTCGAGCATTTCCGTGCTACCAAACCACATCGAAAGCTCGAGCTCTTCAAGGAGAGGGAACTTGCGCATAACCTTTGCAAATACTTCCTTTGAGACGTAATAACACTTGATGAGATAGAGCCTCTTTAGTAAGGGTGCCCTGCAAGATAGTATTAAGATTAATGCTACTCTCTCTTATCCGATTAATTAACGCAGTCTACAATGTAAAATGGACAGCTACGGCCGACTGCATGAGAGGGAGGATCAAAAGCTGACGGATGGGCCATTTATCTGGCTTAACGGCAAACTAACGGTGTGAAGATTTTGGTGCCAAGTCAGCCCTTACAGTGGGACCCACCTGTCAGATTTCGTGTCAAAACGTGATCAAATGAGTGTACAGTGTTATCGGTAAACGGATTACTGAAAATCGATGTTTTCGGTAAATGGTGGTTTTTGTATACAACGTGTGCAATTGTGATGGTTTTTAGCTATTTACTCATAATTTTGTCATGCGAATTTATGTTTCTTTTACAAACCTTTAGCGAAATTGTGGTTTTTTATACAACACGCGCAATTGTGATGGTTTTTAGCTACTTACTCATAAATTTGGCATGCGAATTCGGTCGAGTTTATTCTGCTTAATTAGCAACTGAATAGAAAAACGAACAGGAACAGGAGACCCTTGCAGCAAAGCGGGTCAAGAAGAGAGACTTACTGCTCGCCGAGGAGGAGGAAGAGGTCATCGTCGAAGAGCTCGGCGGCGAAGACCTCGCACTGGCCGGCGCTGAGCCGCAGGGCGGCGCGCACAAGATTGGTGCGGACGGCCTGCCAGCCAAAGGGCGGAACGGCCGGCAGGTCGCGCGCGTCGATGCAGCGCCACAGCTCGGGCTCGTGCCGCGCGACGCGGCGCCAGGAGCGGCACACCGCCGCGGCGCCGCCGAGCAGGAGCTCCACCTGGTCCAGCTTGCGGAGGATGCAGGAGATCGCGTCTGGGGAAGCTCCGCCCAGTCCCTCTCCCACGGCACGGGCATGTTGTTGAACACCGTGACGTGCCACGTCCGGTCTCTCCTCCTGCTGGCTCGTCCCTTTCGACTCCGCCGAGTGGCCGCCGGCGGCGGCGGGTGGAGCGATGGCGGCTGCATCGGGATCGCGATGTGTGGAGCGTTGACGAGGGCAAAAACCTCTTTTATGGCTGCGATAAGCGTAGGTCGGTGCCTTAATTTTTCTTTTTCTTTCGCATAGGTAGGTCGGTGCCTTGATTTTTCTTTTTCTTTCGCATAGGAATTGAGGTCTCTCACTTTGCACTATGCATATGTGTATTTTTGGGGTTATTAAACCATGTGTGCGCTAACTATCATTCAAAACATAATAGTTTTTTTTTCTTTTGCGAAACAAAACATAATAGTTGGCCGAACACAAGACATCATATAATGTGTTCCAAAAACATCGTGTACTTGACCTATATTTTTCTTACAACTCAGCCTCGATGACTGATGTCGGGCTTTTCCTGTCGCGGGTTGGGCACTGTGAAGCGGGCGGTTGACGATGTCTCGTGGCATGGACGCCGGGGCGGCGGCCCTGGAAGGCGGTCTGCATGGTTGGCTCTCCGGCGGGCATCATGTTGGTTGTGGTGGCTAGGTCTCTTGGCCGTGTGGGCGGGCGAGAAGTTTGGCGGTGGATGGCTCAAGCGCGCTATGTCATGGTGCACTGATCCGGATCTAGGAATCCGAACCCGTCACACTTGTCCTGGAGTCCTCGTGGTGTCAAGGTGGAGCTGTTGGGCAAAAGCTCTAAGCTTTGCCGCAAATGATGGACATCACTTTTTTCTTGAAAACGTTGTTGTGGTACTCCTCTCCGTGTTTGGATTCCGAGTGAACATTGTGGACTCGGTAGCGGCGACGCTTTCTGCCGTTCTCCCTTCTGTGTTATCTTTCGGTAGCGTAGTCCCTTGCCTTCTGTGTTATCCGATTATCCTAAGAACGGCTTTGTAAGAGAACTACATCACCACATTGTATCATTCGGGCATGATGAGTTGTGGTTAGGGGTGAAATTCCACTCGAACCCAGAGCTAGCTGGTTCTCCCCGAAATGCATTGATTGTTTCTTCTCATTTTGTTTTAGGATTCTTCTTTTTTTTGCAAAAAAAGAGATATAGTGAGTGATTCCATAAATTCACGCAGTTGCCCAAGAATTCACTATATATTCTTAATACGTAAATCAATAGTTCAAATTGCACTCAAAGGTAGGGCATTTCCCAGCCTCAGCCGCATACATCACTACACTTCCACTTGACACCTATTTAAATGGCTCGTCTCGCCGCTACCTTATACAGTACCTTTGTGAGTATAAAAAAGGGTATTCCTCCTTTACTCTCTTAATTAACGTCGAGCTAAGTGACTTT